AATCATCATTAGATTTTAAAAGAAGAATAAGCATCTCTTTCTTCATTTAGGTTGAAGACAGTTTTTCTTTAAGTCAGGCAAAGTACTAGATAATCTCATTAGGTTCTTTCATGTTTATCATGGCATCGTCATCATCATTTAATGTTTTACAAAGTCTGTGGAACAGAGGGAGACACAAAGCACTATAAATGCAAGTTTAGGTGGAGAAGTGGGTGTCTTTTACAAGTGAGTCAGAAAATTCAACATTCACTGGGAAAGCAGTTCTTAGAAAAAACACTGGAGACCAAAGCTTTCAGGTCTCTGTGCCTACAATTTTGAATCACTGCCATGAAAAAGAAGTCTATAGATGTCTGGGGAAACTGAAAATGGTCATGGTAAATGGAAGCTATATGGTTCATTTACTGCTATAAAGGATTCCATCAGCTCTTCTGTAGGTTACTGTAGCTGCATTTGAAAATGTGACTGTTAAAATTTGATCCAATGGCAACTACCCGAGACCAGATTAAAAACTGTTAGATGGTTTATCATTTTTTAAAAAATGCTGGTTAATATAATGATTTGCTGAAGAAATTTGAGTCAATTAAAGCGTTTGCTGTAGGAAATTGTTATAAATCTCTGGGTTTGGTTTTGTTTCACAGTTTTTCACCTTTGAGCAGTACAAGAAATTGCTGGGATATGTGTCACTGTCACCAGCATTGGTAAGTGAAAGTATTTATTATACTTAAGTGTATGTGTTATTTCATAAAGCAAAATCTGGAAACAAAAACCCTTTTGATTCCCCAAGCCCAGCTACTAAAATGTGAATTCAAGTTATTCAATGTTCAGCTACTTGTTGAAAGCTATCTTCCTAATAACTCACAATTTGGCTATTTTATAGCTCCCAGTGATGAATTTATGATAATAATGATATGTGTGGAAAGACCCATATGAGATATGGTCAATAGTATAAAATAAATAGTGCATTTATCAAAGACGCTTTTAAAGCCCAAACATGCACATGTTTACATATATGCAATACATATCTATTTATGCAAAAGTCAATATGTCTAAGATTATTTCCTAACAGGTCATTTTTCTAACTTTTACTCAACCTGTGGTAAAAAATAGAACTTCACGTTACTTGGAATAAAATTGCTCTTTGGTTATACATAGACTGTGAAGGAGCTCTTACAGTAATGGCTGTAAACAACTCAGCTAGGAAAAGTAGTGTTCTTACAATGATACACCTCAACTAGGACATGAAAATCATGTGATAACTGGAAGCTTTCCCTCCACCACCCTATTCCTTCTTGGTGCTTTTGCCATTTTTCACAAAGCAAGTAAAATTACATTGATCAAATGGGTACTAGAATGAAAATATAATGGAATATTTCTAGGAAATTTTTGAAGCCCCCTTGTATACGTGGAACAAAGAGCCTTAGAGAGAGCAAAGGCTCTCTCCAAACCTGCAAAACAAAACAAGATCTTGCACTGATCCTCCAAATGACAATGTATCCATCTTCCAGCCCCTAGGAAAACCCCTGTTTGCCTAACAGAGAGGAAGTTCTAAGCATCAACTCTTTAATTACGTTACCTGTAAAGGTTCATTTCAGAATGTTTACTCTGCCAAATTAACTGTCCACGGAGAAGTATCTTTCATTTTAAGTCAGACATACATATCCCCTTCCTGAGAAGGACCCTAATTATATCACTTTCCATATGGCAAAGAAACCTCTTTTCCAGCAACTGCCAAAATGGGGGTGGCTGTAAGTGGCAGCCTATAGGAATCAAAAAGTGGTAACATGAAACCTCAAATTATCTATGGTTTCTTGTTTTATTATTATTTTTATTATTATTATTATTTCCTAGTGTCTTCCCCTTGTTGTCATTCTTAATTTTGGAAACAGCTTGGTAAAAAGAGAACTAAAAACTTCCGAGCAAGAGACAATAAAATATGGTCTCCAGAGTGACAGATGGCTGTTCTTGTGCTGAGTATTGGTACCATGTGGGAGATTGCAGTTAATTTCGACTCTAGAGAATTGATACTGAAAAGCATTTGGCCGCTCAAGCTACTATAGCCAAATGCATATACAGTTTTTCTCTTTTTTTGAACTTATTTTATCCTAGTTTCTTTTTGATATAGCTGGACACTTAAACAGTCATTTAGTGTCCCCTGGTGCTCTCAAATGAAAAGCCTAAGAGGCTGGAAACGGCCAATTAACTCTGGTCTCTGGAACAGTCTAAGTAACACTATCTGCTGATATCTGATCAATTCTTTTGACAAGGGACTGCTGAACACTAGTTCTGACAGCAAATGTAGCTGAGTTTTATAGAAGAACAAAAAAGTGAATTACTTGGAAGATTTCATTTAGTAATAAAATCCTGAACATCTGGATTTTAACTTTCCCAATCAGAGGAATTTGGGACTAGTATCTCCACCACCCCACCCTACCCCCACCTTTGGCTCCCATAACAGAAGTCTGAGATAAATGAATAAAATATTTGTCTTGTTATCCTATACAAATGTGTTTAAAATTGTAATGAAGAGGGATAAAAGGAAAACATCATTAGTTTCCCCTCTCTCCCAGAATCTGAATGCAATCCCATTCTTCCTTTGTTGTTAATATGCAAGGAGACCAATGATGTTTCTATAGCACTTTACAAAAGGATTTCACACTCTTGGTTTTGACCCTCATAATACTCATGTGAGGCAAGGGAACTTACAGATGAGAAAACCTTGACTTAAAAATGTGAAGTGATCTATACACAGGCTCACAGCTAGCACATATGCTGCCTTTGGGTGAATCACAAAAAGGTTTCTCCAGTACTCAGGCTTGGCAAGCTCCATGCAGGCTGGATTGCAGCTCCCAAGCAGCCTAGTAGCTAAGCACCTTTGTCTGGGCACAAACTACTACTGTACATGGCAATCTTGGGCACACAGACAGTAAGTGGCAGAACTGAGACCTGGACCCAGACCTGCTGGCTCTGAGCCTGCCCTCATTCCACCTCCTTTCCCCTAAGAAGGTTTTAGAGCATTCTTTTCTTATCTCATATATTCTCCAATTTTAAGAGCATTAAAGACTCTTGGTGTGGTGCTGTAAGGTAAGCACTGGACTACTAACTGCAAAGTTAGTGGTTCAAACCCACCAGCTGCCCCTTGTAGATCCTATACAGGGTCACTTGCTATAAGTTGGAACCTACTTATCAGCACTTAACAAGAGACCCCTAATAAAAATGATCTGTTTTTTAATCTTCACTGGCTTTTTTCCTCTCTTAGTTGTATATTGGGAGTCCTGGTGTGAACTGTAAGGTCGGTTTGAACCACAAGGTCAGTGGTTCAAACTCACCAGACCACTCCTTGGAAACCCTATACAGGGTCACTTTGAATCAGCATCAACTCAATAGCACTTAACAACAACGAGTTGTATACAGGAGTCCTGGTGTGGCAATGTAGCATAATCACTGGAGTGGTAACTGTAAAATCAGTAGTTCAAACCCACCAGCCACTCCTTGGAAACCCTATCCCAGATCGTTATGAATCAGAACTGACTTAACAGTACTTTACAACAACAAATTATATACAGCACTACCTCTTCTGGAAATTAGAGCTTTTGCACTACAGAATTATTTTTTCCAGTAATCTGTTTTGGAGGTTTGAGGCTTTGTTTTGTTTTGTTTTTCTGCTTTGTGGGTTTGATAGTTTTTGTTGTGGTGGTTATTTTTAATACAGATTTTTCTGAAGACTCTTAAGCATTCTATTTAGGGAAAAATTCTAAAAGTTGTTTTTTCCTAATGAAGACATTCTTATCAGGTAGGAAATGAGAATCATATACAGTCATTCTTTGATAAGTGTTCTAGATTTTAGTTGAACCCTACTGAATAACCTAGCCATTTTCAATCGAGGCTTTTCATTGTGGTCCAGAAGAATAGGGAAATCACTGTAAAAAGAAAATAGAGAAAGGTTGAATTTAAAAAATCACTTTTTTCTCCTATTTTTGTTGCTTTAATTTTCAGTCTTTATTTAATTGCATATATGCCTCACTAGTATAATGAAAATATATATTATTAAAATAAAGATATTGTGGTGTGGTGGTGGTGTGCTGTGGAGTTGGTTCCAACTCATAGCAACCCTGCATAGAGTTTCTGAGGCTACAAATCTTTACTGGAGCAGAAAGCCTCATCTTTCTCCTGCAGAATAAAGATATGCGTATCATCAAAATGAAGAATATACATATAGTCTTTAAAAAGTTAATAGAAAAAGTCCCGTAGCTTTTTTTAAAAAATTATTTTAACAGAAAAATTAATTCTCTCACAGTTTAAGAGTCTAGAAGTCCAAATACAGGGTGCCAGCTCTGGAGGAAGTCTCTCTGTCTCTCTCAGCTCTGGGGGAAGGACCTTGTTTCCTGAGTCTTGACATTCCCTAGAGATTGCCATGTGTCTTGATATAAATCTTCCTCTGGATCTAAGAGGTTCTCAGCATCAGGACCTTGATCTTAGGCACTCGGCTCCTGACTCTTCTTTTTGTAGTTCTGAGGTCCTTCCTTCTCTGCTTAGTCACTCTCCTTTTGTCTTTTGTAATATAAAGGTGATACAACCCACACCCCAAGAAATCTCTCCTTACATTCGATCAGTGCTGTGACCTATGTTTGTGGATCCCACAGCAATCCCCTCACAACTGGCTGAACACATCAAATCACATCATGGAAGATGATTATCTCATTACCTAAATGCCAAATCACTGAGAATCATGGCCCAGCCAAGTCAACACATATTTGGGGAGGACACATAACCAGGGATACATAGTGAAAGGGTAGACTTCTTCAATGTGTCCCTATGCATACACCTATGAAACCATCACCACAATAAAGTTAATAAACAGATCCTTCACCCCAAAAGGTTCCTGTGCATCTTTGTAGTCCCTCTCTTCAGTCCCTTCTCCCTGTTCCCAGGTAACCATTGATCCAATTTCTATCACTGTAGAAGTTTCCATTTTCAAGATTTTTATGTACACGGAATCATATAATATGCATACTTTTTGTACAGTTTCTTTCATTCTGCATAATTATTTTGAGATTGTTCCACCTAGATCCGTTTTCCATTCAACAAGTCATGCACATTGTTTGCTAGAACAGACATTGTTGTCAGGATAGTGACTCTAAAAGCGTGACTATGCATTTAAATGTTTCTGGCTATGCTGTTTGTTACCTAAATTTTAGTTTTCTTTGGAAACATTTTATTGTCACTCTCCTTGAATTTATTTATATGCTCAATAAATGTTTTTAAGTAGGTGTTTAAAACTGAAAATCTCCTTTTACAATTCAAACTCTCTTTTAATTATTTTGTGAGCAGACGTTTTTGATATCCACTGTAAGTCAATAAAACAACCTTCCTTTTAGTTAAGGTAAAAAGTCATTGTTGATGAGACTTTGACATTTTATTTTGAATTGTTAGGATGTGGTTTGTGGCTTCTGTAATTTCTTCTTCATGAATTGTCAGCATCTAATCAAGAAGTCAAGCTGTTTGTTTAGTAATGGTATATGGTACATTTATATAGGTTCTCCATTCTCATCATTACAGTCAGCTGCAATTAGAATATTTAACCCAGTACACATGAATACTTGGTTTAAAATATTGATGGATTTAATTTTTCTAGACATTTGCCATTGCTGGACTGGGATCTGGACTAACAGAAGCCGTCGTGGTTAACCCTTTTGAGGTAGTAAAAGTTGGCTTGCAAGCCAATCGGAACTCATTTGCAGAGGTAACCATTTAATATTTTCCTATCATTGAGGGAATATAAAAATATATTTTGAAGTATATATATATACCCAGTTCGTATCTACTTGATAAATCCATAATAAAGTATTGTCAAGAAAATAACATACACCTAAGAAAAAAATGAGATTTCTTCCACAAGTAAAGACAACAAAAATGCACTGAAGTCTAAGAGACAAACATGTTTATACTTTTTTATTTTTTAATGTAGTCTATACTATTTTAATGAAAGTCTATTTGGAAATGCTTTCTCTACTTTTAGCAAATTTCTTATTTGCACTAAACCTCAATAGACTGCAGCAAACACAACTTAATTGATAATATTGTACTTTTTTTTAAAATGATGACGTCATTTTAAAAATTACCTCATGCCTTTCTGCACTCCACCCATCACACCCCTTCCCCGCCCCCCCCCAAAAAAAAAAGAATCTGATAATCTGTCAAGCTTGTCTTTTGGTTAAATTTGAATGAGCAAGTTACTAAGCCTGTGTAGACCTCACCACTTGGACAATGATGAGTCTTGACATTTGATCATTGATACATGATATTCTGTGGACACATCTTTCTTTGGTATATGCCGCCTTCACTTCCTTCCAGTTCCTTAATAATTCCCTTTAAATGGCCAAGTCCAACTGTTCTTGTTTTATTCTTTTAGGTGCCAAGGTAGGGGAAAAAACAACAGGATTGACATTCCATGTCTTTTCTTAGCATTTTAAATTTAATTCCACAACTGGGTAGCATGTGTTATAAATTGATTTGAAGTATCTGCTGACCTGAAGTTTTCTGTAGGAAAGTTCCCCTGACTACTATTTAAGCAGCTGCTAATGGGTGGAGACTCCCTCACCCCCATTCTACTTCCTGCCTGCTGATACTGCTTGAGAGTTCCCTGGCAGCTGCTTGGTCAGGAGTGGGGAAAAGAAGGGAGGCCCTACTCACCTGTAGCTGCCAATACCTGGGGGATGGGATGGGGCTGTAACAGCAGTTGGGATCTACTCAGATGAACTCAATCCTAACTCAGGGGAAATGTTTTAATATATCTAGTAGTTGTTTTAATAGCACTACAGAAAAAATTTAAATCTCTGTATTCCTCTATTCTTTGTTTCTGTTTGCCTTTCTCTATATTCTTCCTTGAATGAAGAAAAATATGACGACCAAGACAAAGAAAGCAATGCATTTTTCACATGGCCTATCAATATAGAACATTAAAAACAACCCCGTGAAATCTAGCCAGGAAAAACTTGGTTTGTTTGACTAGGAGAGTGACCAGCAAGAAAATTTTACCCCTTGGGAAACTTGTCATGGGGTAGCAGTGAATGGGCAAAGGCAAAAGTCAGTCTCCAATTGCAGTCTTTACCAAGGCAGAATGTAAATGTAACCACAAGGGCACAAATGGGACAAAACACCTAGGAGACTCCCGATATGGAAATAATAAGCATTAGCACAGTACCTCTGCTCAGGCCTAATATTGTTCTTCTCTCTCCTGCCATCAAGGAGGTCCTACATTAAAGCCAAGTAGTAGCGTAGTGGTTACGAATCGGGCTGCGAACCTTAAGGTCAGCGGTTCGAAACTACCAGCCGCTCCGCGGGAGAAAGATGAGGCTTTCTACTCCCGTAAAGATTTACACCCTCGGAAACCCTGTACAGGGTCGCTATGGGTCGGACCCGACTCCACGGCACATAACAACAACAACAACAAGAACGGGTAATGTTTTGCATGTGCTAAAGTCATCCTTGCTAGAGCACATTGAACATTCTTCCATACTAGCACAAGAATTGTTGCAAGTGTATGTGTTCTCAGTCCATTTGCACAAGTACAAACCGTGAAAATTATTTAGTAGATTCAGTCATTTCTAAAGTGTGTGTGTGTGTGTGTGTGGGGAGGGGGAGGTTGGAGAGCTTCTTTGCATGCATTTCTTCTGCATCATCCACTGACCTGATCATTGTCAGATATTTACTTAGACAAAATAAAAGCTATTAAGTACATTATAAAGTCTTGCAATACTATTTCAACTAGTCAGAACTTAACAAAGTGATTGCATAGGTTATACACATCGGAATTTATTTGCACCTGCCTATAGAATTCAGGAATTCTGGTATGGCGCTGTGGGTTAATGTGTTGGACTGTGAAGTAGGTTTGAGCTTCAGAGTCGGCAGTTCAAGCTCACCAGCCGCTCCTTGGAAACCCTATACAGGGTCGCTATGGGTCAGAACCAACTCAACGGCACTTAACAACAACAATCAGAATTCAGGTGGGAGAAAGTTGAGGCTTTCTGCTCCCGTAAAGATTTATAGCCTCGGAAACCCTATGCAGTCACTATGAGTCAGAACTGGCTCCACAGCACACCACCACCATCAGAATTTAGCAGCTGAACTAGAGCAGTGTTTTGATGTCGGGCTTTAGGCAATACTGGTCAAACTGTTAAAGCAGCTAACAGTGAATGGTCACCCAGCAAAGCAATATTATTATGTCTGTTGCAAGAAATATCTAAGAGAAAGAGATGAGAGATAACACAATAAGGGAGAAAACATGTAATCTACCTATGTAAAAATAACTGGCAATCATTTTTAGAAGTGCAGCTGCTTTGTGTATATCTTTTCCCTAGAATGCATTAATGCCAGTGTCACCTGTGTCTTTCCTCACTGACAAGCACTATCTTTGATCTAACCAGAGGATACCCTTTTGTAAGTCTGTACCAGTGTTAAGTTAATCCAAATATTAATTGTGCTCACTCCAGCAGTTTTATACAGAAGAATGATTATTTCTTGCCTTACTCTGGGGCTTTGTAGGGGTCAGTAAAATACAATTTATAAAATACAAGTTATAAGGACTCAGCATCACACTGAAGCATAAAAGAAAAAGAGACAAGCTTCTCCCTGAGTGAATATAGCTGCAGCCGTGGGCCTCTTAGACACCTCTAACACACTGCAAGAAGTAGGAGATGAGGCTTTTCCAAGGCTAGGCCTCAACTCCCCGCAGTGATGGCACCTCAGTTGGAATTCTGGGCATTGTCAGTTTGCAAAAACCTCAACCACTTCCAAACTGGCAGTGAAACCTGAAGTACATCCTGTGCTGAACTCACTAACTGTAATCCCCAGAATTTGGATCTCTCAGCTATAGCCAGGAAAGAATGGGGTGGGGGGGACAATGTGGCCCTCTTATGAATTCTGTCACAGGTTATGAGCTATAAGGACTCAGCATCACAATGAAGCACCCACTTGTAATGATGGGTTGTTATAAAGTGCCTTTGGTGGTGGTGGTGGTGATGTGCCGTGAAGTCGTTTCTGACTCAGAGTGACCCTGCAAATCTTTACAGGAGCAGAAAGCCTCATCTTTCTCCCACAGAATGGCTGATAGTTTCAAACTGCTGACCCTGAGATTGGGAGCCCAATACGTAACCACTACACTACCAGAGTGCCTTAAAGTGCCTTTACAGAACCAAAACTGTGATGGTTTATGAGAGTACTGGCAGAGTGATGCTGATAGATAGGCATCAATGTCATGGTCAATGTGCCCATCCTTGGGAGGCAGCCTCAGAGTCCATCAAAAGACTACAAGGTACAGACAGAAGGTGGTGCCCTGCTTCAGCAAGCTTGGCAAGTCTATCAGTAAAAAATAAAACATTCATCATTTTCACCTTGCAAATTTGAAACTATCAGCTACCGCATCCAGAAGAAAAGAGCATCTGGGAGAACATCAAGCTTGGAGGTTTTATACCACTAATGTAGCAGTGGAATATGGTTTTTAGTAAAGTTCATGTCCTCCCACCACACCCCTACACACACACACAAACACAAAAAAGTAACAAAAAGAGAGAGAAGCCTTAAAACCTATTAGACTTAAAGATTATACTTCATTTTACAAAAAAAAAAATCCCAAAACTTTAACCCAAATATATAAGTAATGCATATTTATGTTAGAAAACACCAAAAGGTTACATATTCCTTTATATACACACAAATGTATGTAGGAATCCTGGTGTGTCACTGTGGGATAAAGCGCTGGACTGCAAGATCTGTTTGACCTACAAGGTCAGCAGTTCAAACTCACGAATCACACCTTGGAAATCCCATACAGGGTCGCTGTGAGTCAGAACTGACTGGATGGCACTTAATAACAAGTATGAAAATGATCCACTCTCTAGATCAGTGGATAGAAAAACATGAGCCGCATTTTCTAGTAGCTTTATTTTTGAAGTCTAAGTGAAGCAAGATAAATTAATGTAATGGTATATTTTACTCAACCCTGTCTATCTAAGAATCAAAAGGAGCTCTAGTGATGCGGCAGTCTGCTTCCACCAAGATTGACAGCCTTGGAAACCCTGTGGGGCAATTCTGATTTATTCTAGGTTTGCTATGTGTTGGAATTGGCTGGGCAGCAACAGGTTTAGGAATTTAGGGTGAGATTTACCCAAGAATCAATGTCAAAATTATTCAGGAGTTATTTTACTTTTCTTTATACCTGGTTGTATTTTATGTTTAACAGTATATCACAGTTTGAATTAAAGCATTTCAAGTGCTCAATACCCATATAAAGGTTGTTACTGTTATTAGGTGCTGTTGAGTTGGCTCTTATAACATAATAAAATGCTACCTGGTCCTATGCCCTCCTCACAATTGTTGTTATGTTTGAACCCATTGTGGCAGCCACTGTTTCTATTCATCCCATTGGGATCTTCCTCCTTTTTGCTGACCCTCCACTTTACCAAGCATGATGTGTTTCTCCAGGGACTGGTACCTGCTGACAGTATGTCCAAAGAACGAGAGACAAAGTCTTGCATCCTGTCTTCTAAGGAGTGTTCTGGCTGTACTTCTTCCAACACAGATTTGCTTGTTATTCTGGTAGTCTATGGTACTTTCAAAATTCTTCCAATAGCATAATTCAAACCCACTGAATCTTCTGCTATCTTCCTTATTCATTGTCCAACTTTCATATGCATATGAAGTGATTGAAAATACCATGGCTTGGGTAAGGCATGTGTTAGTCCT